GGGGGCCGGCGCGGGGGCGGCGGGAGCGTGTGAGGGGCATCGGGGCGGCCGCCTGAGCCCCCTCAGCGCCGGTCTGGGTGAGGCGGCGTGTTGTGTCCGCCAAGGACAAGGGCGGCCCGGCGCCTCACAGACCTCAGGGCCGTTCCCGAAGGCCTGGCACCGCAGCCGTCGGCCCAGGGGAAGGGGTGCCACGTCCCTCTTGGGCGCATCGAGCCGCCGCGGTGGTGTGGGGTGTCGGGTCTTTGGTGGCACATGTGCAAAGTCCTCCAAGCACAAAAGAGGGGGCTCCATCTTAACATGAGAAGGAACTTCTTTACTTTGAGGGTAGTGGAGCACTGGCACAGGCTGCCCAGAGAGGTGGGGGAGTCTCCCACTCTGGAGACATTCAAAACCCGCCTGGACGCTGTCCTGTGCAATGTGCTGTAGGTGACCCTGCTCTGGCAGGGGGGTTGGACTAGATGATCTCCAAAGGTCCCTTTCAACCCTAACCATTCTGTGAATTCTGTGCATCCAGGGCTAAAATGTACTGGATGTGGTTTTGGGGACCACGTGCCTTCCAGGGCTGACGTTTGTTGCGTGAACATCCCCGCTAGGCTTCGCGTGTTGGTGTATCTTATGGCTGCTTTTTAATTTAAATCAGCTAGAAAGGGGGTGAAAATAACTACAAGGTTTTGTAACAAAACACACGTCCTGCTTGTCATCACTTTCGCACTCGAGTTGCCTTTCGGCGTAAACTCCGACTTCATTAGGATTCAAGGGCCGTTAACCGCTGCCGCACAGCAGAGTTGGCGCCTCGCAGCTCCTCCGTCCGACTCGGCGGCTCCCGCGTGGTCATCCCCGGCCTTCAGGGGCTGTATTTCCCTGCAGCTTGGATTGGGAAGGGACGTGCTGATTGACATTTGGCGATCCAGTTGTCACCCTCTTCCCAAATTCCCTGTGTGCCGCACCGGGTGTGCTGGGTAATCTTACAGTAAATAGGGAAAAAAACCCCTTTTTTTGTGGTGGTGTTGTTTTGTTTTTTTTTTTAAAGGTCAGTGTATGTAGATACAGAATGTGAGAAATAACAGGCAACTGTTGAGAGCTTGCTTTTGTGCTGACAAAGGTAAACACTGATTATTCATAAAATGTTTGTTTGGACCTAATGTCCCACTACATTGAGTTAGGGAGTTGTGATAAAGAAAAGAAGCAAGGTGAGATTTGTTTGCTTAAGTAAACAATGAAGTCGCTGTAAATATCTTCGCTTGATCTCATCCTCCTCTTCATTGAATAATCTTCCTGGAGCCCAGGTTCAGGCTATTTTTAAATTTCTCAGTAGGCAAGGACGGTACTCCTCCTTCCTTTCCTGCTTTCACGCCAAGCTATCAATCTGCAAGAGTGAATTCACTCTGACAGGCTTTTCCTATCGGCTTTGATACCTTCCCTTTTAATTTTGCCAAACCAAGCACAGCTCTAACAAAATTTCCAGAGAAAGAAACTCCAAAGGCAGAGTTTTCTTAATGCTGTGTCCCTAACTGCTCCGTGTCCATTCCGTCAGGGTGCCTGCCCCTCGACCCAGGTAGCTGTATTAACTCTCTGATGTTGGCTAAGGGCATATTCAGTTGCTCTATGTCTTTGTTTTGTGAACTAGTGAAACAAGATATTTGGGTGCATTTTAGAATTTGTGTTAACGGTGCTATATCCAAAGAGACACAAACAGGAATTTGGATAGAATATTCTTGCTTTGCAGGTACAGCTGCACCAGCAAATATGCTCCCTGCGAAGACATTCCCAGCACAGCAAAGTGTGGCAGCCACTGATGTTGTCACTCTGTGGCTGAAGACAGTCCCACCTCTCCTGCCTGGTGAGTCTCGGCAGTCCTCATGAGCACTCTGTGGTCTTTCGTGGATGTCAAAAGTGTAGTGACTGGGAGTGAAGACAAACCACCATGAATCGGAATTTTTACGGGACGGTGTTAGTGGTTATTCTCATGAGATTAGTGGGTGTGTAACAATGGCAAATTTTAGGAGGTGTTTTTTCTAATTTGTTCTATCATAAACTCCTCAGAAATTGGTGGACCTTTTTCTCTTCAGAGACTATGCCCATGTGAGTTGGTTACGTAGGAATGGGATCAGGAAGGGTGAACAGTCATGTAAAGCGCAAAAATGTTTGAAGAAGGTTAAGCTGGGGAAGAGCAGCTGATGCAGGCGATAATTTTTTCGCTGGTCCCCTCCATTACAAATCAGTCATCTGGTTGGTTGTGAAGTATGAAGTCATGCAAAAGGAGTCCCAGGAAAAAGAAAATTTGTGCTGTTAGGCAGTTGGTTTGTTTGGGTTTGTTTTGGTTTGTTTTTTTTCCTGCTCCAGTAGAGCTGCATTGCTTATTCTGTTAAAGTGTTCTCACTGGGATTAAAACTGGAGAAATTAAGGAGGAGAAATTTAATAATGCAAAAAAACAGTCTCAGTTCAGAGTTTAGGAAAAGGTCAGAGAACAAGAAAGTCAGTGGAAATATTCCCGGTGCGTATAGCTGGGGCTGTGCTGCAGGTTTGTTGCAGCCACGATTACAATGAAAGTCCCAGAAGACTCTTCACTAAAATGTTACAAAACTTTGACATTGTTCAAATCCCTTCCATGGAGGTGGTGTTGGAAACGCTCTTTACTTGCTTACATTGAGAACTAAGAGTAGGCCATAGGGGTTTCATGAGAGGGTAGATACCTCAACATAAATTGGTAAATACTGTGTGAAATATTATCTGAAATGGGATTTGAGAAAAGGTAATGGAAAGGTAAGTTCCCATCTGCAAAAAGTTGTTTTTTTTTTTTTCTCTGTCCTCCAACTGATACTAAAACATGGAGCCTGTGGTCTAACCACTAATATCTGTATTCAGTTTTCCATTTTCTCTCAATAATCCTGAGTGCCCACTGCAATACCAGGTTTTGTTTGAAGTCTGTTCTAACTTATTCTGGCCTGTATTTGTAAATGATAAATCAAACATCTCTGTGGATCAAGACAGGTAATTAATCATGGGCGTGTGGATACTCAGCTAAGATATCTTATGATCTTGGTTGTACTTTCCAGTCAGTGTCAGCAGGGGGATTCCAAGGAGTGCCGCCAACTTTAAAAATTATTTAATTGTGGAAATATCATTAGATCAGATAACACAGAATTGAAAAACTAAAACAGATCAGATTTTTTTTTTTTAAAAGATCAAAAATAAGTTTTAGAATTGTGTGGTTAGCACTTGTGAATGGTCATTTTTACCACTTCTCCTGTGAGTTTAGCCCCTTTCCCATTTTGAAAAAGTTCCTTGTAAATACAGCAAAATGCATTGCTGGGGATAAAGGAAACCTTACACAATAAAAAATGCCAATATGTTTTCATTTAAGACATTTAAAAGCTAGAATAAGATAATGTATGTAGCTGTTTAGCAGATACAAATAGCAGTTGCAAATAACATGTTCAATTTAGGTGTAGTTATGCTAATGGAAAATAGAAAATTGGAAAACACTGAAGGTTAAAAGGTTCAGAAAGAAAAAAAAATTGGGTCTTTCCAGGGGCGTAGTTCAGAAACAAAACTTAGTCACAAAGATGCCAGCACAAATATTTGTTGCTTTTTATAGAATAATTTTTATTATCCCTATATGTGATTACTCACTATTAAAAAGATGAAGATAATTTGTGTGAATTATACCCAATTACCTTATATGGAGTAAGATAATTTTATGTTAGGTAATAAAAGGAGGACTCTGCTCTCCTCATCCCAGCCAGTCTCTGCAGGGTGCTCATTAGTAGGTGCTTTTTCGTAGAATTTCAGGTAAGCTTTGTAACTTTTATCCTCCCTAGCAGATTAATTACCTGTGAGTGTTCCTTGAAGGAACTTTTCAGCTGTAGATTGAAATATTTATTTTTCTCACACATTTATTTTCTTTCTTCGTTATCTGCATGATCATAAATTTCATGCATTATTATTGGAATGTTTAAGCCTTGTGTATTGTGTTTGCAGCGCATTGTTCTTTGCTTATTCACTGTTCCTTATTTAAAATTTTTAACTAAATTTCTTTTGTCTGTTACTGTGAAAACCTTTTTACTTTGGGATAAGTGGTTTGAACTGTCATGATTCCCAGCTCAGAGTGGAGTTGGGCTGAAAACTCTGGCTGTTCCTGCATTAATACCAATACCATGAAGAACTTCTTAGAGTGACAATGTAAATATTTATACTTTCCAACTGTAGTTGTTGAAAAACAGATGTATTCTTTCAGGCTGTAATTGATTCCCCAAGATGTTTGCAAAAGCAACAAAGAATTTTGTGAGAGAAACTGACAGTGGAGGTGACTTGATCCCTGTCTCCCACTTGAACGCCTCAGACAAGCTGCAGCTTCTGAGCTTAGTTACGAAGAGGAAGAAATTGTGGTGCTGGCAGAAGCCTAAGTATCATTTCTTGACAGTCACCCTGAATGATGTGCTTACTGAGGACAAACCGATAAAACCAGGTAAGGCCGTACTCGGGCAGCACTATTATTGCAGATAAAAAGAACAAAGTCTAATGTTGTTTGGTGTTATTCTCAATCTTGTTACTAGAGGGCTCCTCTCGGAGCAACGCTCTGAAGTATTCTCCATCCATGGAACTGGGATGACTAGATCTTTTCTCACTTGACTGTTCTTTTAACTAAAACCAGTAGTAATAAATGTTTGTTTTAAAAAAAAATAAATTGCCTAGATACACTACTGAAATTGAGTGCTGAAGGTTGTCAAGCCATACAGTCCTACCTTCTAGTAACAGTGCTGTCTGCAGCCGTAGGAGCTTCCCTAGAATATTTTTCGGGGGGGGGTCCAGTATGTTATTGATAGTAGCGTGAAACTATATTGTGCTCCAGATCAAAAAGCGCTGGATAAACAGTGTCCTGTCGGTGACAGTAGCCCAGGGAATGCTTGCACAGGCAAGGCCAAGCAAAGTTTACAACTGCTTCCTTTCTTCTTGCACAGACTGTTAAAAAATATGTGACCCTTGTACTTCTCTATTCATCCAGCTGCAGCGGTCCTAACCAGGTTTTAGGATTAACGGTCCAGAATTCTGTATTTCTGGGCATGTCATAATTTCATACAGGAAAATAGACAAGTCTGTAAGTTTTGGTTTTAATTGTAGCTGGCTTGGAAGTTTAGCTGATTCTGAGTCAGTTTTTTGGTTTATAGGTGTATAAGATTCAGAGTTGGTTTAAGCCAGTTAGGTGCTTCCACTGGATTTCAGTGAGCTTTGGGACAGGCTTATATGAGATTTGTCAAGATAATGGCAAAGTATTAACCCTCTTGTACAAGCAGGTCTGCTTTGTGATTTTTTCCTTGTAGCTGAAATAAGTCAATCATTCTTTGTAAATCTTCCATAGCATTTGAGCTCAGCATTTCAGTCACCTTACATTTTCATAAAATGGCAAAATATAAAAGCTAGTGGAGCAAAGATGATGAAAATACGGAGGAAACAGAAGTAAGAGTCGCAGAGCTTTAAATTTTGTTATTTGCCTGCTCGGTACTGTTCCTTGCCTTCAGAAACTTGTCATATTTTCTGTAAGTTTGTTTTTCCAGTCACTTCGGGACTGTTTCAGCGCTTCTCTTCTCAGGTAGAAATTACTTTTATTACTTTCCTAGTGATTGTGGAATCTGACTTTGCAAAATATATGGGGAAGTTTGAAGATTTTGCTCAAGGAAGTATTGAAACTTCGTTTGGAAAGATCAGCCTGGGAGCTGGAGGGAAGGGCTATGTGGAAAACAGGTCCTCATTTGGAAACCTGAGGAAGCAGGAGATTGACTTGCAGCAACTTATGAAAGACATAAAGGACAGGTATGTTTTTAACGTGGGCATTGTAATGGCTGGGAAAGATTACTGAGCTGAAAAGACTTGGGCCAGCTGTGGTCACTGAACAACTGATTCTGTAGCGTTGGCATAGTTTGAGAACTATTTTTATAGTAAGCTGTCATTTTCAGGTGATAAATCATATATACCAAGATGAAAATTTCCAGATTTTGAGAGCTTGATGAACAAACCTTTCCCTTTTCATTTTGAGAACTTCTCTCTGCAATTTATTTCAGCTTACGTATTTGCATGAGCAACCATGTGGAACAAAGGTCGGATCTTTCTTTGGGGGACTGTACTGAAGTAATGGTCTGGAAAAAAAAGAAGGATTGGTTTCTCTATGTTACTGGGGCAAATGCTATGGAAACTGAATTCAGAACTACCAATATTCTTTTAAGCATGCTTTATAACTTTTTTTTGTGCTTGTGTGAGCAACTGTGCTAGAAAATTAGATGATTTGTAGTTGAAGGAGAGCAAGGTGAGCAGGCATGGTCAATATAGTATTGACCATGTATCGTATTCAACAAAGTATAGTTTCTAGATCTGTTGCTCGCTGTTACACGTTGTACTAATTGACGGGAACACGCCAGATTTTCTGAACTGTGATCTTAATTTTGCAACATGTGCATCGCTTCCTGTTCTACTCTGAAATGGGATTGATTTAATCTTGCAGTAAGACAGTCACGGACCAAAGCCTACTTGGCAACTAGCTGACAAGTCAGGGGTCTACTCTGTATTGCAGGTTCTGACTTGTAGGAGATGAGGGTGGTTCATTTGTGACAGCGTTGTACCCTAGATCTGTAGGAGGTGCTGTAATACATTTTAATAGCCTCTGCTGATGCTCTGAAGATAAAGATGATAGTTTTTTGTTATCAGTGCAGAAGTTGTCAGAAGCAGTGTAAATTTTCTTTAGATACACTGATGTTGTGGAAATAATCAATTCTCCATTTTCACAGGAACAAATGGCTGCTGTTCTTTTTATCGCGAGCATTCACAACTCAACAAACTTATTCCAAAAAAGCACCTTGCTGTCTTTGTACTAAATGTCTTATTAAAAGCAGAAAATACTGGGCTAAATGTGTGTAAAATTAGTATGCATTGTAGTATCAGCAAAATAGTTTCAGTCAAGATTTGGAATCTTGTTTCTAACACTAGGTAAGAGTCCTATAGAAAATGGAACTAGAGTGACTTCTATTTAGATCAGTAAGCTTTTACTTAGTTTTCTGCAATAACTACTGGGTTCAAACAAATGATCCTCCTATAGCAAATCAAATTTACTTTGGCACAGGTTATAATCCTGAATGTAACTAAATACTTACAAATGTCTTCATTTGAGTGTGGAAAATCAGTAGCTCTACACTGATCTGAATATAACTGTAAATGTGTATATAAATATACACTATATAAATATATATATGTGTATATAAGTATATATATGTGTATATGAATATAACTGTAATGTGTGTGTCCCCTTTATACAAGGAGCTAGTTCTTAGGTGCTCGTAGCTTATTAAGGCTTATGATGCAAAGTGTATAATTGATGTCCAGTCAGTCTGGCTTCTGCCAGGTCACTGAAAATGATGAGGGTAGCAGAATTCGTATTTTTTTTTCTTCAGCATAATGCCAAGGCTCACTGGAAATTGTGGCGGTGCCTTACAAATGAAATTCCAGTTACTCATTCATAAATATTCTATGATTTATGATGGACTGTGTCCAAGCCTCTAGCTTTTCTTTTGTTCATGGAGCATTGTGTGGAATTCAGGAATTCAGCATTCAGGAGTGCTGGTGCCTACAAGTTAGCAATTTTTGGATGTGAAGCTTTATGCTGATAAGAGGATGTTTACCCGCCAGTCCTTGTGAGACGAGAGTCAGCTAAGTGTTCTTGATTTCATCTAATAACATACCTTGTTTGTGCTTGTTTGATGAATTACTGTTTCATTTATTGTTTCTACGTATATTGCGTAAGTAAGTTGCATTTTAAAATGTTGGTCTTGTATTAGGCTGTTTAAGTCAATGTTGCAGATAAATAGCAGAAAACTAAAAAAAAAAAAGTCGAAGCTGATATGCTTTCTAAACTAAGTTATGTGAGTCTTCAAGGTTCTGCAAGCTGGTGGTGCTGAGTGGCAGCAAATCGGTTTCCTGTCACTTATGTGAACCTTCTGAAGGAGAATCCTACTGATCTTTTAATTAAATTCCAGAAGCCACATTGGCTCTCCTTTTCTGAAAAGGGATGACAGCTGAAGGATGCAGGATAAGATCCTTCCTGATTTGCAGGAGGAATGACATTGGAAATGCAGAACGCATTAACATAATATACAATATAAAAATAAAGTTAAGTGGTACTTTTAGGTATATAAACTCAGCATATTTTATTTTACATTATTCTCGCTTTTCATATTGCATTGTGCTTGCTATTTCACAGTGTACTGTAACATACTGATTTCAGATCAGAGTCCTGTGCCTTCAACTCAGTGAGATTGCTATGGATTTAAGAGTATATTCCATCTTCTATTTTAAGGCTTTCAGTACTGTCTGTCATAAGATTCTCATAGAGAAGCTGATGAGGTATGGGCTGGATGAGCAGGCAGTGATGTGGATTGAAAACTGGCTGAATGGCTGGGACCAGAAGGTATTGATCAGTGGTACAAAGTCTAGTTGGAGGCCAATGACTAGTGGTGTACCCCATGGGACAATACTGGGTCCAGTTGTGTTTAACATCTTCATTAGTCATCTGGGTGGTGGGGTTGATGAGTGTACCATCAGCAAGTTTCTGATGACATAAAACTGGGAGGAGTGGCTGATAAACCCAGAGGGTCGTGCTGCCATCCAGAGGGGCCTCAACAAGCTGGACTGGTGGGAACCTCATGGAGTTCAACAAAGGGGAGTGGAAAGTTCTGCATGTGGAACACCAGTACGTGCTATGGGCTGACTGGCTGGAAAGCAGCTTTGCAGAAAAGGAGTTGGGAGTCCTGGTGGACATCAAGTTGGACATGAGCCAGCAATGTGCCCTTGCTGCAAAGAAGGCCAATGGTATCCTGAACTGCATGAGGGAGGAGTGTGCTAGCAGGTTGGGGAAGGTGATCCTTCCCCTCTACTCAGCACTGGTGAGGACACACCTGAAGTAGTGTCCAGTTCTGGGCTCCCCAGTTACAGGGGAGAGATGGACATACTGGAGAGAGCCCAGTGAAGGGCCACAAAGTTGATGAAGTGACTGGAACACCTCACATTTGAGGAAAGGCTGAGAGACCTGGGACTGCTCAGCCTGGAGAGGAGAAGGTTCAGGGGCAATCTTATTAATGTATATAAATACCTGAAGGACGGGTCAAAGAGGATGACAGGTTCTTTTCAGTGATGCCCAGTGACAGAACAGGAGGCAGTGGGCATGAAGTGAAACATAGGAGGCTCTTTCTGAACATCAGGAAACACTTTTTCCACTGTGAGTATGGCTGAGGACTGGCACAGGTTGCCCAGAGAGGTTGTGGAGTCTTCCTCCTTGGAGACACGATCCTAGGCAGCCTGCTCTAGGTGGCCCTGCTTGAGAAGGTGGGGGGGTTGGACCAGATGACCTTCCAACCTCTACCATTCTGTATTCTCCCCTCCAGTGAAAAGGATTGTGAGGAGGTTATAATCTCTAGTTCTCATAGAGTAACAGATTCGCTTGTTTGTTTTTACTGTTTCACTAAGTTATGTTAGGTGAATGAAACGGAAGTTCTGAGGAGACAGTGACAGTATAGAGAAAGAAATAGGACCAAGTGACAGCAGTTAGTCCCCATCAGCTGCAGAAAGGTTGGCCTGTCACACTTCCATCATTTCATGTGAATGATTCCTGACTGTATGATTAGCATATTAGAAAAACAGGGTAAGTGTTATTAGTGGTATACTCTAGAATGATTGAAAGATATTTTTACATTATTGCATATTGCACTTTAGTATGCACTTTCATTGGTTCAATTATTGTCCTCTAACTATCTCAATTATTCACTGAGACAATAATAGGTGCCTGTTCCTAATCAGAGTACAGTAGAAATTCAGCCCATTGTGTTATTTATTCTTTAAAACTCCTTGAGCATTTATGCATATGATGAGCAAACCATTCAGTTTTCTACCAAAGGTGTTACATGGGTAATACGAATAAAATAAACTGTGTGTGTCTGTGAGTTATAAAATAAGGAGGATGCCAAATAGAAAATAGGGGAACTATCTGTCACTTGCACTCTCAAAAGTCTTTGGCATTCTTGGGGAAGATGTTCTATG